TTAGAAGTTGGGTGTTGGTCCCAGCTGTGGGACTAGTGGTATTATTATTCCTCCCTGACTAATTGTGAAAATCTCTGTTCTCAGGATGTACACTGCTCAAAAAAATTAAAAGAACACTTTTTAATCAGAGTATAGCATCAAGTCAATTAAACTCCTGGGATATTGATCTGGGCAGTTAAGTAGCAGGGGGGGGGGGGGGGTTATTAATAAGTTTCAGCTGCTTTTTGCTGAAATTAACCACAGGCACACTAGATGGGCAGCAATGAGACAACTTCCAAAACAGGAATGGTTTTACAGGTGGAGGCCACTGACATTTGTTTCCCTACTCATCTTTTCTAACTTTTTTTCACTAGTTTTACATTTGGCTAGGGTCAGTGTCACTACTGGTGGCATGAGGCGATACCTGGACCCTACAGAGGTAGCACAGGCAGTCCAACTCCTCCAGGATGGCACATCAATACGTGCCATTGTCAGAAGTTTTGCTGTGTCTCCCAGCACAGTCTCAAAGCATGAAGGAGATTCCAGGAGACAGTTACTCTAGGAGAGCTGGACAGGGCCATAGAAGGTCCTTAACCCATCAGCAGGACAGGTATCTGCTCCTTTGTGCAAGGAGGAACAGGATGAGCACTGCCAGAACCCTACAAAATGACCTCCAGCAGGTCACTGGTGTGAATGTCTCTGACCAAACAATCAGAAACAGACTTCATGAGGGTGGCTTGAGGGCTCAACAATCCTCTAGTGGGCCCAGTGCTCACTGCCTGGCACCATAGAGTTCGATTAGCATTTGCCATTGAACATTAGAATTGGCAGGTCCACCACTGGCACCCTGTGCTTTTCACAAAGGAGTGCAGTTTCACCCTGAGCACATGTGACAGATGTGAAAGGGTCTATAGAAGCTGTGGAGAATGTTATGCTGCCTATAACATCGTTCAGTACGACCGCTTTGGTGGTGGGTCAGTGATGGTCAGGGGAGGCATATCCATGGAGGGATGCACAGACGTCTACAATCTAGACAATGGCACCCTGACTGCCATTAGGTATTGGGATGAAATCTTTGGACCCATTGTCAAACCCTACACTGGTGCAGTGGGTCCTGGGTTCCTCCTGGTGCACAACAATGCCAGGCCTCATGTGGCGAGAGTATGCAGGCAGGTCCTGGAGGATGAAGGAATTGATACCATTGAATGGCCCCCACGCTTGCCTGACCTAAATCCAATAGAACACCTCTGGGATATCATGTTTCAGTCCATCTGACGATGCCAGGTTGCACCTCAGACTGTCCAGGAGCTCAGTGATGCCCTGGACCAGATCTGGGAGGAAATACCCCAGGACATCATCCGTTGTCTCATTAGGAGCATTCCTCATTGTTGTCAGGCATGCATACAAGCACGCGGGGCCATACAAACTACTGAGTACCATTCTGAGTTGCTGCAATGAAATTTCAGCAAAATGGACTAGCCTGTCGCATCATTTTTTCACTTTGATTTTTGGGTTGTCTTTGCATTCAGTCCTCTATAGGTTGATAATTTTCATTTCCATGAAGCACATTATGGTTATGGCAATAGTTATGGCAATAGTGACAGAAAGGGATATAATTGATGGTTTTGTATGTTATATGAGAGCAATGATGGAACATGTATTTTATATGGAAAATGAATAAATATTTAAATTTAAAAAAAACAATAAAAGCACCTTAACACATTGCCCAGTCCATATCAGTATAGATATCCAGCATGATATTTTCCCCATTGAGATCTGATGTGTTTTCAAAATGTTCCTTTAATTTTTTTGAGCAGTGTATTTAATACTACTAACCAGAGTCCGTGTTTCATTGATCTGAATACATTAAACTGACACTTTGCTATAGGTTTCTGTGCTCTGCACGCCATCATTGTTCTTTACAAAATGTTATTATATTAAAGCAAATGGAACATTGGAAGTAGATTTATTCATTTTATTTTTTTCGGCCCAGTTGAAATACTAATATCGATCTTCCATTAGACTGTATCTCTGTAAAGTACACTAGAGAGATAGAGAGAGAGAGGGAAGGAAAGAGAGGGCGAGAACTGTCTGAAGGACAACTCCCTCTACACAAGAATTCCATCTCTTGTCCACTAAATGAGATAGTCATAACAATCGGAATGCACTGTGGTGTGTGAAAGCTATAAAATGCCTTCTGATCATACTGGCGTCTTGGATAACTTAGGGCAATGCATTTCAATATGTGATATCAGCTCCCCCAGTCTGATAATGGAATGAAACTCATAGTTATTGACCCTAGCTCTGACCTGCTTATATATCCAGCTAGGGGCTGCATTGTAAATCTCCTTTGCATGGATACATTAGAAGATAGACAACAGTGCAGAAATGTATTTTTGTTTCTGATGTGCACAAGTGATATCTTGGGTTTGCATTTTTTATGCAGACTAACAAACAACACCAGACATATACATAATAATTGCAATCTCAGTATGTATACATTTATCATTATTTTCTTCATGCTTATATTAAACTTCTCTCATAATCATTCATTCTTTGTTATGGGCTTTGTGGATTTCATTGCTTTTGGATTCACATTGTCTTGTATGGAGAAGAAATTAAATTCAGAAGCAAACAAATACCCAAACACATGATCCAAGCATGGCAAAACATCTGCTGTTAAGCCAAAAGCCACTGAGTCTTTGTCACATGTACTATCTACACCTCTATTTCTCAAACCTTTTAATATAAAGGAACCCTTGAAATGATTTTTATGTCTCTGAGATCCCCTGCTAAATTATTACATTTATAGCTCACATTTGTGTGGTCAGTAAGTTGTAAATATAATAATATATAAAATCACGCATTAAGAATGTAGTGTAGCATATTTGACACCCAGAGCAGATAGATTTTTGATTTTGGGTTTATTACTGCTTTAGGAAGTAGCATTTGCAATGTTACAGTAGTACTGTTATTACTTACAATAGTAAGATAGGTAGTAGGGGTGAAGGGAAGGGTAAGTTTGGTTGAGGAAGGAAGGTAAAGATGAGGGCTAGATATGATGGGTGTAAAATAAGAGAAAAATATACAAAAAGAAAGATGTAAGGGCAAGAAAATAAGAAAAAAAAAAAAAAAGGTGGGTGCTTTGTTAAAGCGGATAGTAGGCTTTTCTATGACCTCACTATGATTTGGTAGTCAGAAAGATTTGTGTGTTCATGGTTTGTTGGCTTCTGGTTAAAGTTTGTATGGGCTTGTGTAGTAAGGGTTCATTTTTTTTTTTTTACAAAATTACAGAAAAGTACAATTTGAATTAAGATATACAGTATATACAAATCCAAAGTCTGTCACTCAGAGGCAAGTCTACCAAATATGTGTCATGGTTTATAGGAGGGCTCAGCCTCTGAAGCAGTTAATAGTGTGTATACATGTAGACAGATGTATGGAAGTCTAAAATCATCAGAGGAGCAAAAATTTCATAGAGAACTTTTAGGTATAGCTGACCAGATGTTCATACAACTTTCTTTGGTTAGGGTAGACCTAAGCTCCTCAAACAATTTAGTTTGGTATGTGATATGTATGAGTATTGCTTGCGTAAATTAATGATTGGATGAAGAATATGAGGCCAGGTTGGGGGTCACTTCTGTATCTATTTTTAAAAGGTGTAAGTAAAAATGGGTGTCTGGGCTTTGATCAAGGATCGCATATTATGTCACATATTGAATATAGAATATAAAAATTCTCTGCTCGGGACTTTGTGGGAATCTAAGTTGTGCAAAGGATCTCAAGCGCCTAAGGTCTTTGTGGTGCATGTACATCTAGGTAACCGTTAGTGTGCAACTAATAAAATGGTTTATCTTGGCCTGGGGGAAATAATGGACAAAGCAAAAAGGTAAGTATGAGAAGATGTGGCAAAAGTAGTTTACCAGACTATTTGATTGAATCCCAGGATTTCAATGTAAAAGAGTAAGACTCATAGCTTTAGGGTATAGATGTGAGGGTAGCAAGACCAGATTGGGAAAGGGCCAGAATCTACTGCTTTGGGAGATACCCAGAAGGGTAATTCATGTCAGCTTTGTAGATGGACTAGAGGGTGCTTTGTTGGTCAAACTCACAATTTTTAGATTTAAACTCTGAGGACTTATGTCTACCTCTAGTTAAGTGTATGTCCTTAACTATTTTACTATGACAGGGGTCCCAAAACTTTTAAAAGAAGGGGCCATTTCACTGTCTGTCACACTGTTTTGGGACTGGACTGTGGTCAGTAGAAGTTAAAAAATGCCCCATGTCAGTAATCCGTGGGAGTACAAAATGCCCCTGCTTTGGTGGTCATTTGGATTATAAAATGTCCCTACATCAGTTAACAGTGCAATGAAAGCATGGTATGAATGGGAGTAAAAATTGTACCTGCCTCTGTGGGACTGATAAATGCCCAGTGTCACTAGTCAGTGAGAGCATTAAATACTTACTGTTAGGGGAGTAATAAAATGCCCCTGTGGCACGTGGCATACATCGACTCCCTCTAGTTTTTAATGAAAAAGCTCTGTATGCAGACCATTCTTATTGCAGAGGCCAACCTACAGCAACTAGAAAGACATAAGCATGCCACAGGCCATAATTTTGGGATTACTGTTTTACATCATCCTGATGTGCTTTTGCATATACCTGTCCCAGGTAGCTAAATCTATATGATTGCAGGTTGGTACCAAGTTCTACATGACCTTGGATCTGAACTTACAAAAAATACAGGCTGTTCTCAATACTAGTGTGTGCATTTCTCAGAGAAAGATATCATCTAGAACAGGGCTTAAAATTTCAAGTCCTGAGCTACTAGCCAGGCCTTAAGAGTTACTCGCCACCAACAAACACAAGCAAACGGAGATACCTGTACACACACACAGACATGTACACACACACACACACACACACATATACACACACAGAAACATGTACACACATGCACAGAGACACATGTACACACACACATACAGACAACATGTATACACACAGGCACGTACAGACATGCATACACACAGATACATGTACATACACAGAAATACACATGCACAGACACATGTACATACACACAGACACATGTACATACATACACAGACACATTTATACACAGACACATGTACATACATACACACAAACATACACACACGTACATGCACACACACAGACACATGTACACACACAGACACATGTACAGATACACACATGTACATACACACAGACACATGTACATACAAACACACACACATGTACACGTACACACACACACCCCCCCATAGAAAGTTGCAGTACTTCGTTGTTCACTCACAGAGCCGGGTACTGCACTCTAGGGGGAGGCAAGAGAGCACAGCACACACTCCTTCCTTTGCTTTCACTGTGCTCAGCTATTGAGCAGTCTGACGGCTCCCAGTGCCAATGACAGATCCGGCCTGAGATCCGAGCCTGCTCAGCAAGACGGCCCCAGGGGACACACTCGCCCCCACCATAATTTTCATCGCCATTGGCGTGCAGGCGAGTGGAAATTTCAAGCCCTGATCTAGAATCATATCCGCAGATGATGCATCTTTTGGCTACATGTAGTCATATCTGTATCACGAAGAATGAATAGACCTAATGATAATTGACAAGTACTGTGTACCTTTTGACATTGATGCTGTTCTCCCAAAGTTTGCCAATAGAATTGATCTCACTCTGTACTTAATGAGATTAACATAGCTGAGGAAACAAAATTAATATCACACAGCTATAAATTATAAGAAGAAAAAAAGTAGTATTGACCAAAGGGTGAGTGATCCTTGATTCCATGGGGCTGGTCCACTCCAGTAGCTGCATTACAGCACAGCAGCTGGTGTGCAGTGCCATCCTGCTGGGATCAGCACAGTAATGATGTGCTGATCTCAGAGGTTCACACTGTTTCCTTTTTTAAAAAATGAACTTTATTGCGATGTCACAAAGACACCTCGCAAAGATCAATTGCAGTCCACGCGAGGTGAGATTGCCTTTCACCGCACTTCACTGAAAAAAGAATGGAATGCAATTCTTTTTCTCAGCACACTCTGCCTGCACACCACCGCAAAGCAGTAGTGTGAACCAGGCACATAGGAGAGAAGGCATTTTGCCTTGTCCATGTGGTGGGACTGCACTGGAATAGCCACCCAACGCAGTCGCACCGCATCTGGTGTGAATATATCCTTAGTGGTTTTTAGGTCATATGGAGCCTATCTATACTGCTGCACCTCCATACATTGATATGCGTGTCTGTTTCTCTTTATTTCCTTTTTAGAATATTTGCTTCCATGTGTTTTACCTCAGATGATAATATAGCTGTGAAGTAAATAGTAAATGCTGTGGACCTAATTTAGTGTTGCCGCATGTGACATTTTGCAAATGGATGCCATTTTAAGCCTATTTATCCCGAAATGTACTGTAGTGAATAAAATAAGCAAAGCAAGTGAAATGTATAAATCACTCCAAATGACAGATATTGCTGATGTGTTTATTAGGAAGGCACATCATAAATCATTTTTCACATCTACTCTGGAGCATGCAAAAGTTTCTAGAAGGAAAAGGATCAGAATGTTTACTTACGCAGAAACTGAAAAACAGAATAATTGATGCTTTATTTTTTTTTTACATACAGTATAGGTGATGATCATAGAATGGGGGCAGCTAAAATGGGGGTTGCTGTGGCTTAAACCAAGTCTAAACCATGGGAAACGGGGTCCACACTACAATCCACTGTTCCTATCAAGTGAAAATGTTTTTCCTAATCCAAGCTGATAATGAAGGGAGCCTTGGCTTTCACTTAAAGAGTCAATGGAGGCACAACTGGATTATCTGTTCTTCTGCTAGCCAGAGGTGACTGAAGACCTATGACCTATAATTTTCCCTTACATTCACCTATGCACCCCACTCTGGCTTTGAGAGAAAAGGGTGATTATTGCAGGTTCTGGACCTCTTCAGGGCAATCCATCTCAGTTTGTCCAGGGCAGTATCTCTTCTTTGGACAGTATCTTCCTCTTCAGGATAGTCTCTCAGTTTGCCTGTGGCAGTCTCTAACTCTCTATAGGCATCCTTTTAGAGTCTTTTACTCTAAACACAACTCTTCTAGCTTGGCAGATTCTAATCAAAATGGAGATGAACTAATAAGAAATAAAACAATGCTAACAAGATGTCAGGATTGTTCATGACCACCAAAATTGGGTGTACAGGTTTCGTAACTACACAAACGTGACAGGAAACAAGTGTGTAGCACCCTCCTAGATAGGTGCTAGGTTAGGTAAATTAAGGTCTTTAGCTCATCTGTAATCAGTAGAGAAGCTTGTGATTGCTTTGGTCAGCTCTGAATTTCACTGGTTGTGGGTCTGCCTTCTAGATGCTTCTGGAAAGTAGTGGACTGGGGAGAGTCAAATCTGCAGGCTGAATATTTTTTTGGTCCCAGACAATCCTGGGGGGAGGATGCCCAGGAGGTGGCTGGGAGAGGGCATAAATAATTTGGGTCTAGAGCAGAGGGGTTTCTGTCCAGGAGGAACAGTTTTCCAACCTGCTGGGCTGCTGCCCTTCTGGGCAGATCAGCTATGCTTCTTCATTTGCTCACCAAGGTCCCAGCTGCATTAGCTGGGGGGGGCTATTCTACTGAACTTTGCTGGAGCTGACTGAGGGATTTATCTAGGGATCTGATCTGAAGAGTTCACAGGAGATTTGTCTGGCTGATATTGGAAGGAGGGATCCAAATATCCAAGGACATTAGTGAGTACAGACCAATGTGTAAGATACCAATGGCTGTGTGCCACTGCTATCCTTCTTGCATTAGTGTCAGCCTGTGCTTAAAGGTGGACATTCCTTATGGTTGTCCCTGTGTAGGTCAGTCCATTATTTGCTGCTTCAAGGACTATGTCAGTAAGCTTTGAGAAAGAGACCTCAAGTTACTACGTTGACCTATAGGAATATCCCACATTTAACCTGCACTCATCCAAGTTCAAGTTTAATAAAGCATCAGAAAAAGGATATACCTAGACTAATTATTGAGCCAGAAAACTGACTGAGACTGTGTGCCTGGCTGAGGATACACTATCTAGCTTGGAAAAGAACTTGGGATCACTCAGCGGGCCCTTTAGCAGCACATGTGGACTTTGGCAAATTAAAAAAAAATTGTAGATCATTTATACTGGAGAAGAGGTTCACTTCTACAAAAATGTACCTGAAACAAACTGCAATGGTTTTGGCCAAAAAGGAGGCACAATACCAGAGATAATGATTTTTTAGAGATTTAAAAAGATGAGTATTATGTCACAAACAAAAATGTATTGTTCAGACTAAAAACAAAATGGGATGTTGTGAATAAATCCATGTGTGCAAAAGCTACAGAAAAGGTTAAAGTATACTGTAATAGAATTTGTAGTTCCTTTCATGACTTGGACCATTGTATCTTTATGCACATTGAGTCCTGACTGGCATTGCATTTTGCCTGGTTTATTTTGTTATAGAGCATTGGAATATTCCTTTACTAAAGAAATAATTGTTTCTTGTCTGTAAGATGACAGAAATTCATGTAATGGAAATGAAAGGTACTAGACCTTGGATTTCATAGCATCTGACACTCCATGCTTATGAAAGTGACATGTTCTTTTACATGAGAATGCTGTCAATGTCAACTTTATATGTTAGAAGTGCAAGGTATGCTGTATAAGTCAGTTTATTAGAAACAGCTTAATGTGGAAAACAGTGACAAAACTCTTTTTTCTCTTCTGTTCTTACTGATAATTAATCACATTGCAATCAGCAAAATTGTTAGACACCCCCATATCCAATATTACTATACATACTCTATATCATAATGTAACTAGCATTGATACACATTTTCCAGTTATTTCTATCCTTTCTTGCCATTCTTGTGCTAGCAAGGGACACAAGGGGCAATGTTTTCCCTTAGTGCCGTTCAGTCATTGGATAGATATTCAAGTGTGGTTGTAGTCCAGGTTCATTTGGAACAGAGACTAGTCACTAGTGGTGCACCATAAGACGGTACCCAAAGGATTGGTGAGAAAGGCCAGTGTTTTTGCTGATGATACAGAGGCATGCAATAGGGCTGATATTCCTGAAGGTGTTTGTAACACAGTACATGATTGGCATAGCAGGAAGCTTTGCCAAGGCCACAAAAACAGCTGTTCAAAGTTTCTAAATGCAAAGTAATGCACTTAGGGAAAAAAATCTTCTAATAGAGTATAATATAAGATACAGTGCTGGCCAGAACTACAGAGGAAACAGATTTGGGAGAACTTATTTCAGTTGATTGCAAAATGAGCGAACAGTATGGCTAGGCAGTGAAAAATAATTTTATGAAATAAAGAACTTTTGATTTTAAAACTGTTTACACTATGGAAGTGTCTTTGGCTTAATGTCAGTCCTGATTGGAGGAAGAATAAAGGAGCAAACCTGGAATAAAATCTGAAGAGGTGGAAGGGAGCAATAGATGGTGGGTTCCTGGTTGCCTGGTGGAGATGGGGATGACCTGGATATTCTACTGATTTCTGTCACCTCATAAGAATCTGGTGAGCCTTCCATTCAGCTAAAGTGTCTGGGATCTGTATATTTAAAGGGGTAATTACATATATGCTGTTATGTAAGTATAATACTTTAGATAGTTATGCTCCTTTTTTTCAAAACTTGCTATACTATCAGATTGTTGCCCTCCAGAGTATTTACCCCCTTCCTGACCAGGCCATTTGCGATACAGCTCGGTGTTACTTTAACTGACAATTGTGCGGTCATGCAACACTGTACATAAATGCAATATATGTCCTTTTTTCCCACAAATAGAGCTTTCTTTTGGTGATATTTGATCACAGTTTTTATTTTTTGTGCTATAAACAAAAAAAGACAGACAATTTTGAACAAAAAAATTATATTTTTGATTTTTTTGCTATAAAACATATCCAATAAAAAATGTTTAAAAATTTCATTACGTCATAAATTTAGGCCAAAATGTATTTTGCTATGTGACTTTGCTAAAAAAAATATGTGTAAATTAATTGGTCTACGTGAAAGTTATAGCATCTACAAATTGCAGTATATATACTAGAATTGAATTTTTTTTTTATAGTAGTAATGGTGGCGATCAGCGACTTATAGTGGGACTACGGCGGACATTCTGACACTGGGTAGGAACTGACTAACTGCCACTCACATCCCTAGTGGCACTGTACAGTGATCAGTGCTACTAAAAAGCACTGACACTGTACTTATGACACTGGGCAGGAAGTGGTTAACATCTGGGGTGATCAAAGGGCTAACCATGTCCATGTGCTGAGTGTGTTTCACATTATGTGCTGTGTGTGTTTTACTATGGAGACATGCTGGTTTGCATTTCTCTGCTGTGCAGAGAAATACAAAGCAGCATGTCCTGTCAGCCTTCCTCGATGATCACCGAATGCCAGTGGGGG